ATGTTAGTATATGTTACAGAGAAGGAAACATCAGTGGCCAGTAAGTATGTGAAAGATGATTAATTTTATTAGTAATGAGAAACATGAGATTTAAACCACGGTAAGATATCATTTTCCTTCTGACAGATTGGCAAAAATTAAAATATACAACTACAATTATTGGCAAGGATGGAGCAGCAAGAAACCTTATACACTGCTGAAGGGAATTTAAAATTGTTCAGCCAATTTGGAAAACAATTTTGTATTTTAGCAAATTTGAAGATGTGCATACTTTATGACCCACCAGTTCTCCTAGGTATACTCTACAGCAGCGTTGTCCAATAGAAATAGAACAGAAAACACGTAATTAAAAAATTTCTAGTAGCCACATTATAAAAAAGTAAACAGCTTAAATTAATTGTAAGTCTTTGAAATCTGGTGTTTATATTTTACACTTACAGCACACCTCAATTTGGGGTAGCCATATTTCAAGTGTTCAATAGTCATATATGGCTAGTAGATAGATAGTATATTGGACAATGCAGCTCTAAAGACACTCTTATAGATGTACGGAAGGACTTGCCTGAGAATATTTGTAGCAGCCTTGTTAATAATAACAGAAAACGGGCTGAGCACTGTGCCTCATGCCTGTAATCCCAAGACTTTAGGAGGCTGAGGTGGGTGGATTGCTTGAGACCAGGAGTTCAAGACCAACCTGGGCAACATGGTGAAAACCATCTCTACCAAAAATACAAAAATTAGCCAGGTGTGGCAGTGCACACCTGTAGACCCAGCTACTTGGGAGGCTGAGGTGGGAGGGTCGCTTGAACCTGGGAGGCAGAGGGTGCAATGAGCTGTGATTGCACCACTGCACATCAGTCTAGGCAACAGAGTGAGACTGTGTCTCAACAACAACAACAATAATAATAACAACAACAGAAAATGATATTATTCTAAATATCCTGTGATAGGATAGATACATTATGGCAAACTCCTACAGTGGAATGCCATACCACAGTTTTTAAAAACTGAATGAACTGCAGGTATATGTATCGACATGGAGAATTTTATAAGACTTGGAGAAAAAATACAAGTCACAGAATACATAAAAACTAATAAAACATTATATATGGATAGTTATGTAAGTGGTAAAGTTAGAAGAAAATGAGAAAAAAATTCAGAATAGTAGCTACTTTTTGGGCAGAAGGAGAGGGATGCAATTAGAAATTCCTAGGGATTCAGAGATACCAAAACTAGGCTGTTTATTAAAGATTATATGTACATATATATATACATACTTATACATTCATACATATATTCACACATGTACTTAGATTCTTGTATGAATCATTAACCATATTAAAATTATTAATGACCAGTATGAAGAGATGCTCAGTTTCATTAATCAGAATTATAAGTTAGAACAATAATGAAAGTTTTTTGCTCATGAAACTGATACATTTTAAGGGTATCAAGCCTGTGTCCTTATAAGAGATAGACAAACAGACAGTCCTTACTCTATTGATGAAAGCATACAGCCTTTTTGGACAGCAGATTTGGAATAGGAATCTACATTTTAAATTAGGCTGCTCTTTAACCCAGCAGCATGATTTCTAGGAATTTATTCTCAGGAAGGAATCAGATAAGTGAAGAACGATACATTTACAAGGATGTTTATTACAACTTTTTTTTTTTTTTTTAGTAATAGTGGATAATTGAAAAAAAAAATTGTGTATTTGTGAGTGTACTTGTTAAGAAAAGGAAGTAGATCATACTGATATTCACATGGAAATGTATTCATGACATATTAGTAAATAAACAAAGGACATGGTTGAACACTATGCAGTATATGATCCCAAATTGTTATATAAAATCAGAAAAACATTAGAAAGAAACAAATAACAGAGCTTATTTCTGGGGTGGAGAGGGGATTACATGGTATTTTAATTTCTTGAAAAAAATTAAATGAAATTGTATTATACATTTATAAATAGGAAAATATAAGACATTTTTGCTTTTTTATGAGATTAGCTTAATTTTTGTAGCAGGGTGATCCTAAGGACACTGGACATTGCTCTAGACTTATCTAAATCAAACTCTGGTGCATGTCCTTTTGAGAAATTTATAGAGATTCAAACAGTTTTCTTTTTAAAGCAGCACTTAAGAGTTGAGCTTTGACTGTGGTTTAAGTTATCAGCTAATAAAGCTATGGTTTTCATGTTAGTGTGGAAGAGAACAAAAAGATGTGCATTGGGGAAAATTGGGTAACTGTGTGACCCAATCCAATCCAGTTCCTTGTACCTGATAATGCTTCACTAACTTTAATTAAGTAGTAGTCTTACTTTAATCCTGTAGTCTCTGAGTGAGTGTCACTCCTGAGTACTTAGCTTTTGAGTATAGTGTTAGTAAAGTCTCTGGAAAAAATAAAATTATTGCATTCTTTTCCAGACACTATTAGACCTAACAGAAAAAGCCAGAGGAAAAAAGAGTCTCAGCCAAACCTTTTGATTTGACCTGCCTTGGAGCGCCTATTAATCTAAAGAGAAAAGAACATACTAACTAAACAATGTAAAATATATAACTGCCTTATTATGCATGTTTGTTATGAGCTTCTAAGAAAAATAATGAATTCATATGAGCTGCATGAACAATTAGGTTAAATCCTGCCAGACCTTCACCTCAGTGGGTCCTGTGTACTATCTTTGGGTTTCTGTTTCCAGGCTCCAGCTCCCATTACCTTCCCGTCCTACTCTGAGCCTCTCCAACAGTAACAGTCTATAATTCTTTGTTGTTGTTGTTTATCCAAGGAAGTGACATAATCAGAGCTACGTTTTCTTGCTGTTAATCTGGCAGTACTATACGGAAAGGAAGAAACGGGATGTGAGAGTATAGTTAGAATTATATTATTGTGGCTAAAGGCTAAGGAAACAATTTCTGACCCTGGTAAGGGACAAGAGTGCAGAAGAGGTTAGAAGGGACATTATTGCAGAACAATCAACAGGATTAGGCATTATTTGGAACTGGGCCACAAGGTAGAGGAAGAAAGAATGAGAGGTGATTCTGAGGCTTTGAGCTTGGGTGGCTAAAAATGTATAGCACTGGAACACAGCTTTACTACGTGATCACTTTTACATGAATTTCCTATAAAACTTCATTCACTGGTATAGGCTCTACTAGCTCCTTATGGCTCTGCATTATTTGCATTTTAAAACATATATTTATTTGTGAGCAAATATTGATAGATGCTACTGTTTTAAAATCAGCAGTTTCTCTGGTCAGTCCCCTCCATTTCCCCCAAAAAGTAGAAATTGCTTTTGGAAACACACACACACACCCAATGCACATGCACACTGTTGTTTAGAAGAAATGATCTTCACCTTCTTAAAATTACAAATTAAAAAAACTGAAGTAGGGCCGGGCACAGTGGCTTGCACCTGTAATCCCAGCACTTTGGGAGGCTGAGGTGGGTGGATCACCTGAGTCAGGAGTTCGAGACCAGCCTAGCCAACATGGTGAAACCTGTCTCTACTAAAAATACAAAAATTAGCTGGGTGTGGTGGCACGCGCCTATAATCCTAGCTACTCAGGAGGCCGAGGCCAGAGAATCGCTTGAACCCAGGAAGTGGAGGTTGCAGTGAACCGAGACTGCACTGTTGCACTCCAGCCTGGGCGACAGAGTAAGACTCTCTCAAAAAAAAAAAAAAAAAAGAAGTAAATATAGTTGAATGGGAACAAAAAATATTTGAACACAAATTTGAGATTTAGTGAAAATTGGTTTTATTATGTTTTTGATGCAGTTGTTTAAAAGATACGTGTTTTAGGATTAAAGGCTCTTTTTGAATTTGGTGTTCAAGGTAGTGTAAAAGGTAAATTTTAGTAGCATTCAGAGAACAGACTAATGAAAAGTAGCTTATTTATATACTGTAGTCTGAAAAAGAATACTTTCCTTGTTGTCTCTTTTCAGATTTTTTTTTAATGCTAGTTTTGAAATCTGATATTAACTCCCATTGGTTCAAAGAAGAATCTCTTGATCATAATATTAGAAGACAAATGGTAAAAACCTGGGCAAATCATTTGGTAAGAATAAAAGATAATGCAGGATCATCTTGTTATGAAAGAAGCATTCTTGATTGGAGCAAGAGAGCTTATGGAGAGAAAAAATAATTTTTTATTGTTTTGACACCCATTTAAAGAAATCAGAATAGAAACCAAAAATATACCTTGGTTTATTCTCTGGATAAGCTCTTTTCAGAGGCCAGGATTCTAAACCTGCAGTAGCTTTAAATGTATTAGCAAGATATTCTCCAGATAAGAGTCAGCAGTTTGCTCTATTGTTTAGCGTTGATTCTTTGTCCAAAGACTGTAATGAATAACAACTTACTATATTCGTTGCATGTGCCAGGGCTCTCTTCTTGTACAGAGGGTAGTACATTTCAGTTTTGAAAATTAATTTGAGTGAGGAGGATATTTATCAAATCAAGTTATAAAGACTATCCAAAGAATGTCTTTAATTTTAAAACACTTTCATAAGTATAAAAGTTTTTTATCTACCAATTAGGGATTCACATTTTTATTTTCTTCTATGCCTTCGTTATTTTTACTGTATAACTAACTGCAGGATAGGTAAGGTGGAGTAATGTTGAAATACTTTTAACTAAAAGCACTCCTAATGGATATTTGTTGTTTTTAAGCTAGGTGCACTATAGGAAACGACATGGAATTTATCGCTAGGTTTTTAGGTTATACATATTTAAGAAAATATAGTTGAACTAAGAAAACAGTGAAGTTTTTTTTTTGTTTGTTTTTTTTTTTGAGACGGAGGCTGAAGTGCAGTGGCACAATCTTGGCTCACCACAACCTCTGCCTCCTGGGTTCAAGCGAGTCTCCTGCCTCAGCCTCCCAAGTAGCTGGGATTACAGGTATGCACTACCATGCCTGGCTAATTTTTGTATTTTTTTGTAGAGACAGGGTTTCACCATGTTGCCCAGGCTGGTCTTGAACTCCTGGCCTCAAGTTATCTGCATGTCTTGGCCTCCCAAAGTACTAGGATTACAGGGGTGAGCCACTGTGCCTGGCCAGTAAAGAATTTCTAACCCTTAAACTCAAAGGGAATATAGGATAAGAACAAGTCTGTTTTCAGAACAGTTATTTAGTTGGGCCTCTAGAATAAAATAAAATAAAATATTGTTTTGGGAACCTATTATGTGAGGACAAATTCAACAAGTAATTGTTAGACTTTGTCAAAGTAAATATCAAGTAGAATTAATCCGTGAAAGAGCATTTTCACAACACTAAATGCAAAAAATTGACCAAAGATTATGAGACAAGAAGTTATCGTTGACTTCTTGAGTTAACCCCTTAATCTCCCCAAGGTTTAGCTTATCATGACAGATACCACTCTTTTACAAGCACCATTTCGATTTGAAAAGGTAATGGTTAGATAATAAACCATGATTGCATCAGTATTATACTTTTTGTACAATTTATGGTACGATTTGTAGATCCAGTAGGAATGAAAGTGAGTCTGACAGTCTGTAGTCAGCTTGTGTTCATATAGTCCTTTGGGGCGTAGTAATACACACTGAAGCAAATAAAAAATTAGGAACACCTTAAAAGCCAGGCTTTTAAAATATAAAGTAGTATTTTAGCATATAAACTTAAAAATGAGAATTATAACAGAATCAGGAAATCTTAGAGTTTCAGGAGGGAAAAACTTTTTTTCCCCTCAAAATGCAGTAGATTGTGTAATTATTATTCTAATTATGAAAGTGGTATGTGTTGTTCATAAAACCTTCAGCCAGTTCAGCAAAGCGAGAATTTTGCCTGTAAGCTTAACACTCAACTGTTAACATTTTGACATACAGTATTATTATTATTTTTATAGAAATTAATGTAAGATTGTTTTAAAAGAACCATGACTTTAAAAGTTCAGAGACAGCCTTTAATTGAAAATTGAAATAATTTTGCATACTGACACCAAACTCTTTGGAATGCTGAAGTTTTCAGGATAGGAGTACAAATGTAGTTTTTGGACAAGCAACCTTTTCAATTCCTTTTTTGTTGTATGCCCTCAAGCCCATCCTTCAAAAAAAAAAAAAAATTGATGCCAGAGATTTTCAACTCATGCATTTAGAGAATTAGCTACCAGCCTCTTAAATTTCAACTGTAGTAAATGTTACCCTGTTTATATTATTAGGCGGAAGTGAAATGAATTCCTGCTGACAAAGAAAATGGTAGGTGCTGTCTGTTTCTCCTTGGCATGAGATAGTCTATGTTATGGATAGGGAGTGACAGTTCTGAGATGTTCAAATAAGAATTCTGTATGTACTTACTACAAATAAAGTAAAATATTGGCTTAAGTATTTTTCCAGTGTGAATTATATGCTGAAAACGCGATAAAAAGAAGATAGGAATAAAAAGAAGACAGGAATCACTCTCTAACAGATGCCTTCTGAATACGATTCCTGGGACAGTAGCTTTTCCATATGGGAACAATAGGTGTCTTCTTATAGCTCCGTGTGTTAGTCCTCATGTGATGGAAGGTGAATAGGGAGAATGTCTTTAGCACTTGGGTATTTTAAAGATCTTAAGCAGTACGTTTAGTTGATTGGCTTGCTTCATTCTTGAAATAGTTGTGTGCATTAAAGACTTAATCAAACTGCATTGTATTTTGTGTGTTTCCTATGCAGGCATCTGCATTCAGGTGTAGGTTGTACTGTTTTCCCAGCCCAGAAAGGGCAGGGTGCTCAGTTGCCTTTATAAAGGCAATTTCTTGGTTGACTGCGATTGAGTGCAGAATTATAATACTGAGGGCTTAATTTATAACAGAAAGAATGCAGGAGTGCAAACCTGTTAAACCTCTTATACATGTATAAATAAGGTAAACAATGGCAGATTAGCATGGACTATTGCTTGATGTGAATAATCTTAAAAACAAATTTCCTTGGCCTGTGCATGTTGTACCTGTTAGCACAGAGAAAACTTGTAGAAATCAGTGCATCGTCTTTGAAATATAATACAATCAGGGAGAAAAAGCAGAGTGATGTGAGACAGCTGCTGCTTGGATTGGCAGCCTATTTATAATCTGGGAGGCTCGTTGCTAGATTGCTGTGCTGTGTGCTGTGCTCTCACACATCAGATAGGAATGATGATTTGCGTGCGTGTGTGCGTGTGTGTTCCTGCTCTCAGACTTTTAATTTTTCAGAAAAGGATTCCTTTTCCTACATAAAAATGGAGCATGCTAGCAAAAGCAGATTTTCTGTGTTCCAAACACTCAACATTCTCTCCAGTGGACCTCTGGGCATTTTTCAATGCTGGGAGAAGACCTTTGGTGGGCCAGGCATTTAAAGATGTAAGGCCTTCTCAGCATTCTTCATGATGCTGGCTGTGCGGAGTGAGTGAGTCATGTGGGACAGAATGTCGCATTTCAGTACCTTTTGGCTATCTGTGCACGTTAGACAATAACGATTGCCAAGCCAACGTGTCTCAGGTTTTTTAATTACGGATTTAAATGCCCACAGGAGCTCTGCTCATATGTTAATTCCACCGTTTGACTTTAAAGGATTTTTTTTTTTTTTGCATTTTCTAATTCAGATTATAAAAGGCAGTCAGCCATTCAATATGGAAACAGTTTACCACATAAACTTGTTTGAGGGCAAACAGGGTAGCGAGGAGGTAGCTAAAGCTTTTCTACATTTTTATTCTGAGAAGGAAAAAAGCCTCAATGCTCTCCCTTAGGTTTATTTTAAAGAGCCTAAAAGAGGTATGTTAATAAAAATAACCTTGACACCTGTTTATGGAAAGGATCATAAAACATTGGAATGATATTCTAAGTCCTATGCGTTGTCAGCTTTCATGTACCTTATGCATGATATCTACATCTTGCAGGCCAGGCTTGGTGGCTCACGCCTATAATCCCAGCACTTTGGGAGGCCGAGGTGGGCGGATCACCTGAGGTCAGGAGTTTGAGACCAGCCTGACCAACATGAAGAAACGCCGTCTCTACTAATACAAAATTAGCCGGGCGTGATGGTTCATGCCTGTAATTCCAGCTACTAAGGAGGCTGAGGTAGGAGTATCGCTTGAACCTGGGAAGCAGAGGTGGTGGTGAGCTGAGATCACGCCATTGCATACCAGCCTAGGCAACAGAGTGAAACTCCGTCTCAAAAAAAAAAAAAAAAAAAAATCATGGATTGTTTGCAATTCAATATTCACCTCTGGCAGTTTCCCACTAAGCCACATTTTACTACAAAACATGTCCCATGCCACTGAGCTGGGGTGTTTATGGAATTTTAATTTTAAAACTTAGTCAAAACATGGTTTTATAGATATATCTATCCCCAAAGGACTGAAAATTTTAAAGCCAAATGTAACAAAGTTTTGGATATTTTGGTATTTTGGTTTAACCTTAGCCCAGGTCTCTCACCTAATTATGAATAATCAGAAAGCCAACTTCCTCTCATGCCCCATCAGAGAAACAGAGAAAATAGGATATATTTAGATAACTTGGCATGATCTGAGACTTTCTTTTACTTAAAGGACATTCTTGGGACATTGTCAAAATCTGCATAAGGTCTGGAGATAATAGTATTGTATCAGTGTTGATTTTCTGATTTTTTCCCCCTCAACATTTTATTTTGAAATATTTTCACCTACAATAAAAGTTGAAAGCATTTTACAATGAACACTTAAGCAGTCAAAGCCCATCACCTGTACTTGCTCCATCACACATCACACATCTGCCCATGAATCTTTCTTATGTAAAGCAATGTTATTTCTATAACTTGCAAATGATTCCAGAGAAACATTGTGTATTTGTGGAGAGAGAGAAAGAGAAGAGAATAAAACAAATGTGGTAAAGGTAACATTTGGGAAATTTGGGTGAACAACTTTTCTGTAAGCCTGAAATTGTATCCATGTGAGATTTTTAAAAATGAGATTATAAGACCATATTTTCTTAGGATACCAGAGACTCATTCCTTCTCAGGTAAAGGAATTTTTTTTGTAGTTCAGAACTATACATGATAAGGAAAATGAGATGGAGAAAGTTGTTTTTTTTTTAAATCTTTATACATGTGCCCCAGAGAAAATTCTTTTTCTTCAACATTCTTGTCACTGTTACCTCTTTCAGAGAAAACTCCTTGTGAATAGGCAATGTGTATTTATTTTCATAAAGTTTTTAGAACACCATTACATAGCTGGCAAATAGTGTTAATAATGACAAGATTAAGAAGTAAGATGGAACAGCATAGCATAATACTGATCTTGAGTAGCTTCCTGTGAGAAATTTTTTTTTGGAAGGGATGTTTAATAATAAGGGATGATGGCTTTATAGTCTAGTCTAGAACTAGGAGTCACTATGGTAGAGAAAAGAGATATTAAGGGATCATCAGGATGGCAGGTTCATTCTTAAAGTCCCTAAATCTTTTTTTTTTTTTTTTTTTTTTTTTTTTTTTTTTTTTTTTTNACACTTAAACTGCATCCTTTCCTAAGTCCCTGGCTTCTTTCACAGACCAAATAATACAAATTCCTTTAACTTTTCCTCTTTTTTTTTTTTTTTTTTTTTTTTTTTTTTTTTTTTCTTTTTTGAGACGGAGTCTCACTTTGTCGCCCAGTCTGGAGTGCAGTGGCACAATCTAGGCTCACTGCAACCTTTGCCTCCTGGGTTAAAGCTATTCTCCTGCCTCAGCCTCCTAAGTAACTGGGGTTACAAGCGTGTGCCACCACACCTGGGTAATTTTTTGTATTTTTAGTAGAAATGGGGTTTCACCATTTTTTGCCAGGCTAGTCTTGAACTCCTGACCTCAAGTGATCCACCTTCCTTGGCCTCCCAAAGTCCTGGAATTACAGGCATGAGCCACCGCACCAGGCCCAAAAGTCCCTAAGTCTGAAACAAGTAATTAAAGTATAGAGGAAAAAATAGAAGAGAATCTAAACTAGTACGGTTACATCAGAGAGAAACTTAATATTACATGAAAAGCAATGACGAGCATTGTTTTAATGGAAGAAAAGTGATGTTGCTTAATAACAAGC